CCTCGAATAACCCAGACCTCTGACAGCCCCGCGTGCTGACAGAGTACATCGCAGGTCCTAGCTATGGCCAGCGCTCCAAAGGTCTGGCTATGTCTGTCTCCCACAACGTTGAGCCGTCACCACTTCCTGTTCACGCATAGCGCAGCCGCGATGTACTCCGTACCAACGCCAAAAGCCCTGAACCGATGTGGCTATCCTATCTATAGTCTAAACTAGCCTAGACTCGAGCTAGACCGGACTGACTGACGGACCGGTACCGTTTGCTGTTTCGGCCTCTAGGGCCTCTTCGTACCCGGCTATAGGCTATAGGACCGTCTATCAGCTTACGCCTTTAGGGCCTGTCTGTCTTAGGAGTAGCCCGGGCCTGCTATTCGCAGTTAGGATAGCTGTAAATTCAGTTAGTACGGGCCTGTATTTTTCCCGTACTTTGCAGATATGTCCCACAGGCAGGTCACGCGGTTAGCCCTCAGCCAAACAAGATTTACAAACCTGTCCTACCTATGGTACAGCCTCGACAGAGAGAGGCTACAGGCAACCAGAAACCAACAAGTCGTTGCACTTAACTACAACCAAGTCCATAAGATTTTCCCAAAACATAGACAATGCTTCGGTCAGTCTTATCAGCAACCTGTTGCCAGCCACCTTCGGGCTACAAGCCAATTAACATCGACTTGCGGTGTAGAAAGCTGATATCCCAATTTTGTAGAATATCGTTGTATCGGGACCATTTTATTATTCTGCAAAAGGTGTTCCCAAGCCCAATCACGAGGATCCACAGACAACAGATATGATGGTCGTGAAGTACTGAAAGGCCTGCAGCCATCCTCATATTCCAAGACGCATACCGGGACCAAGTTTGGAACCGTTGGCAAAGGTAATGAATTCTGCGCCAAGGTCAGTTCAGATCCCAAGCCAAAAGATCCGTCTTTTGTTTCCCAACATGAGTGTTGGGAGTTCGGGATTTGTGCCACCTCTGAATAATCTTCAATCTTCCATACTAAGCCCGGCTGTTCAATCTGCTGGCTCTTGTACCACATTCGCGGTGTAGGAACAACACCTGCTCGTAGGATGTTAACCCAGTCCACAGGAATATCTTGCTGAACCAAATGAAGATGCTGTTGTTGATGCCATAGTCCAGATAACAATGACGCCAACGTATGACAAGGTTTCCAGTCAGCCTGTGTGATGTCCCAGATGTCCGCCACTGTGCCAATGCCCCAACTCTGTGCTTTGCAGTTCTTACTTCTGTTTTAATTTTTGGAGTGTTTTCTTTCATTCCTTTCTGTGCTCAGTTTTTATAAGTTGTTCCATGATTGCTGACCTTGGTGCGGATTCGTCCTCAAAAACAATGCATCTTCTCTTCCAGGAGCTTCAACCACCAATACTTGGCCCATACATCGGTCGCAGGATAAAACCGTTTTTCTTAGCATACTTCGAACAGGAATATATGGCAACATAATTCGAAGTAGAAGCGGTTGTATTCGTATGAATTTGGGTGGTCCCCAAGTGCCCCATTCTTCCATCATTGTCGCGACTTGTTAACCACCGCGACTTTAACAAGTACAGTACCTTTTACGACTTGAAAACGCCCGTCCGAGCATGCCGGAAGCTCTTTCCACAGCCTCGGCACAGCTTCGTGCTGGGAATCAGTGAGCTGGGCAGTATACTATTATCCTACTTAGAAAATAACGGAAAAAACAAAAGAAGGTTCTGGCGTTGGTTCAGAGTTGCAACTCGTGTGGGCACCCGCATTCAAAAGCAAGAAGAAAAAAAACAGAGAGAATTGAGAATATGGCAGTGCGCACACATCTGTACAGCTGCAAGTCCAGATACCGTTTTACAATTTTCAAGCTACGTCAAGGTCCTATCAGGCAATATCCGCTGACAGTGCAACAATCAACAATCCACACTGACAGCGGAAAGATCGTAGCCAGGCCCTCAGCCCGTCGTTTTTTTGTTTTTTTGTGTTGTCCCGTTTGTACCCTCAACTGCCGTGTATCTTTCCTTGTTCCAGCCGAAGATTCATTCTCATTTTGCACCTGTGGTGAGCACAAGAGCAGGTCCTCTGCCAATCCTTTTTGTTTCGTTTTTTTTCTTCCCTTTCTTTGGGCCTTGAAACGAAAAACGAAACGAATGAATCTTCTCACAGAAAATGGCCAGGTTCATCGGTTTGCTATAAATGGTAACCAGTGTATTTTGCCACCTTTGTTGGGCAGATGCACTCGTTTCGTTTTCGTTTCGTGTGCCGTGCCGCGAGACCCTTTCTCTGAACATGGGAGTGGCACTGCTCTTCTTTTCTCTCCTCCTGACAGCACGACCGTGGCCACCCCTTATACCATTTTTCTTTTATTGTTTTTTTTTTTTTTTTAACAAGGCAGCTGCAACTCCTTTTTCGGGCTGCCCTCCCACAGCCTCGGGCACTGGCCGCGGACTGGTTCGGCGGGGGCAGCTCAAAGGTACTGGCGGTTTAAGGATACAGAAGTCATTGCCGGCACACATGAAGACATAAAGGGAATGACAAGGGAGATGTAGTTGTCTTTGTAGATAAACAGAAAGACACACAGCGCAGAGAACTAAAACCAGACGTCTCATTCAATCAATCCGACATCATTGAGCTGTGGAGGCGGAGGTTGACGACTTTTTTTTTTTTTTTTTTTTTTAATCCCAACTGGGTGGTAAGAACAGCCCACCCCAGTAGCGGTCTGGTTGCTCCAATGTCTTCTACATCTCAAAGGGACGTTGGACCCGGTTTCCAGCAGGTGCGGTGCAGCTCCCCATCAGGGGTGAGGTCCCACTAGCAAAGGGGATTGGATTGAGCTCCTGAATCTGGATGTGTTTTATACACAGATGCAGAAATGCAGTTCAATCTCAATTTTCCGCACCTCTCCTCGAAATCGTCCAGATTCAGGCATTCAATCCAATACGGCTGGCTAAAAAAAACAAAAGAAATTGCACTGGCCCTTCGGCGAAGCTTGGTACGCAGTTCTTTTCCACTTCTTTTCCACTTCTTTTCCACCTTGACGGAACTAGTCTCGGAGGTAGTGGTGGTTTAAACCACCAGTACTTGGCCCAGCCATCGGCCGTGGAAAAAAAAAAAGAGTAGAAACATTTCTAGTCGGATGAACGTGGGCGCTCCTGTAGTGGCCCGTATGTTTGCTAAAATTGTGGCTTGTTAACGCGCACTACTTTAGGAAGTACTGCAGCAGTGGTTAAACCAGGTTGGCTATACTGCGAGGAGTGATAGGAGCATCTCCCCCTAGTAGACCTTCCCGGTTGCTCCGGGATGAGATGGAAACATACAATACACTGAATACAATGTAGTTAAGAGTTTTACTCTTGCAGCATAACCACATCGCATAAGAGCACTACCACACTTCGTGACCTACAGACCTTCTCCTCCATGCTACTCCGTCTGTGATGTGAGCATCCACTCACTTCTCAAATATTGCTGGAAACCGGTCCAGCATCCCATTAATCTTATCCCATTAATCTTAAACCACCAGTACTTGGCCCACACATCGCCCACGGGCGTTTCCCGTTAACGCGCCGCGACTGATGGGCTTCGGGCTACTGGACCACAGTGGCTGAAGGCGCCAGCCAAAAGAGAAACGAAACGACGTGGCGGCGGCTCGGAAAAACTTGTCGTGCAGGGTGCTTCCCGGCTCGGCATCAATAGCTGGGCCAAGTACTGGTGGTTTAACATCTGTCTGTTCCTGGCTGAAACAGAACCAGTTCCTTTGTAGCTTCCACACAACAAAGAAAATGGACAGCCTTTAGCAATGCTCTCTGTTGTTGGTGTTTCAAAGTATGGGACAGTGGGCCCAGTTCCCGGGACGTGAAGCTCCCCATGAATGGAACGGAGGCATCGTAATTCTGAGGGCCTCTCCATCTGGGACGGACTCTGACCCCTCTGATGATGGAGGACAGCGGTGGATGGGTTTTCTTTTGGGGGGGGGAGGGGGGGAGGGAAGACAGAAAAATTGTGCATGAGGTTCCTGGCTTTCTATCCATATTATGTGGAAAGAGTTGGTCCCAGACTCCCGCCGCGCTGTTCTTGTCAATTTCTCCCTTTGTGTCAATTTCTCCCTTTGTGTCAATTTCTCCCTTTGTGTCAATTTCTCCCTTTGTGTCCCAGGGTCAAGTTTTTTCACTGGGCAGTTCTCCGTCGCTCTATTTGTGTATGTTTGCAGAAAAGGAGAAAGGACAAAGAACAACTTGAACAGGCTTTGACGGACTGCTTTGTTTCGTGTGTTCTCTGAATCATGATGGGGAGACTGGAGTCTGCAACTGATGCTCACAGCCGTACGCTGTCGTGACCAAACTCAAAGTGGACTATCAATGGTCCACACCATAATCTGTCTTGACCCAAAGTCAAAGTGCATTTTTTTTCTCCATGGGATAATGAGATATCAGAAGTGAGAATGTTCTGGCAGGGGTAACACAGAAAAGTTACAAGTATGAGAAGTATGGTAAAAGAGAGTACAAGGGTTCCTGCACGTAGTCAAAATCTACTCAGAGTGAATGGGTCCCTGAGTGAAGGACAACCTAAGGAAGCCAGCACACACACACACACACACACACACACACACACACACACACACACACACACACACACACACACACACACAGTCACACAGAGAGAGAGAGAGAGAGAGAGAGAGAGAGAGAGAGAGAGAGAGAGAGAGAGAGAGAGAGAGAGAGAGAGAGGGGCATGACTCGTGCATTTTGAATACATACGAAATTTCGGGTGGAGTAGGGTATTCAAGAAGGAGCAAGCAAGAGCATCATTAGAAAACAACCTTAGCATTCCTCACTTGTTCAGAAGTTGTGCATAATTAGCTAAGCCGGTGCCGGGGAATGGCCCCAGTATCCGAGTTGCTCTCTATAATTTCCATAAGGGATGATGGCCCGGTTCCCAGCACGTGCTGCTCCCACCGAATAGATTGGAGCAAGTTTTTTCAGACAAACAAAGAAAGAAAGAAATCATAGGAAATAAACATTCGTAAAGCATTTGTGATCATGGACCCCATTTGCAGGATTTCCATCCCCTAGGATTGTCAATCATTCAAATACAAAAACAAGAAAATGCAAAAGAATAGTGAATAGTGAACAGAGAGGACACACATGGCCCCTGCACAAGGATGCCGCACAAATCGAGAAATGGTCCAAAACAAAAAAAAAAAGAATAAGAAGGAGGAGGAGGAGGAGGAGGAGGAGTGCGTCAGCCAATGTTGCAAACAGCCTTTGTCAATTAACGAGGAGGATGACTTGGTAGAGACCGGCCATGGATAAGAGACTGGCCACTGAAAAAACAATGATCTACGCCGATTCTACGGTCAGTATTCCAGCTGTGAAATCAAGGAGGAATACATCAAGACATCAGAAACTGTGATATCTGTGAAGATACCAGTATTGGCCAAACATCTCATGCGGACAGCGATGGGCAAACCTCATGCCCCGCGCATCAACAGCAGTTGGGATCTTGTGAGGGATCTTGTGAAGGAGCAACTACACCACAAAGCTTGGCTTTCATTCTGGAGATAGCCGCAGAGAGGGTATCGTCATCTTTGCAAAATGCGAAACGAACAAGGTGTTTGCCGTCGTTGGGATTCGAATAGAAGGAGCTTAGGGGGATGGCGATGACCCCGACATGTTCGATCAAGTATTTGCAGAAGGTTATGTCGTTGTCCGCGATTCCAAGAGGAGTGTGATCTGCAATGACAAAGAAAGCACCTTCAGGCTCAAACACTCGAAATCCGACCTCTCGAAGTCCCGTCACGAGCTTCTCCCTTCTTGCAGTGTATTGATGTACAAGCTCGCAAAAGAATTCACCGGGGCCGCAGAGAGCAGCTGCCGCACCCCATTGCAAAGGGGTAGCAATGGAGAAGGTTAGGTATTGGTGGGCCCTTCTAATGGCATCTGTGAGAGGGGGCGGGGCAACTGCCCAACCTATTTTCCAACCGGTCAAGCTGAAGGTTTTTCCCAGGCTGGACATAGACACGGTGCGTGGGTACATGCCCGGCAAGGCCGCCATAGCCAGAAAGCTTGCACCCGGGAAGACGATCTTCTCGTAGACCTGGTCCATGAGGACCAGCGAGTCGTGCTCCTGGCACAAAGAGGCAATCAAATCCATTTCCTTTTTAGAAAACACTCTGCCCGTCGGATTATGTGGGGAATTGATGACGATTGCCCTCGTCTTAGGCGAGAATGCTGCCCTTAGTTCTCGTTCAACTATTGCGAAACTCGGCGGCCTCAAGGTTACGCATTTGATCGTCGCACCCGCCATAGCGGCACATGCTGGGTAGCAATCGTAGTAAGGTTCAATCAAAACAACCTCGTCGCCAGGATTAACCAGCCCAAGGAATGCCGCGGCAATCGCTCCCGAGCACCCGCAGGTGACGGTCACCTCTAAGTCTGGGTCAACCATTAGATTATAATCCTTCTGGAACCGCTCAGCTATGGCAGCATTAAGGGGTGGCACGCCTTGCAAGCGAGAGTACTGCCCCTTCCCAGACCGTATGGCCTCGATCGCCGCGTCTTTGGCAAAATCCGGACCGTCGAAGTCAGGCGCCCCTGGGCCGAGATCCACTGCGTCGTGCTCCGAAGCCAGCTCACACATTGTCGTGAATATCGTCTCCCCAAAGGTCGCCAAACGGTCCGCAACCTGCAATCAACAGACCGACTGCCAGATGTGAATGCGCACAATGGAGGCAGGCCACCGCCCGCTCCCGAGTCACAGCAAACCATGGAAAAAGCCCATGACAAGATAAGAAAGTCAACACTTCGCCATTGATCCAAAACCCGACCGCATCCTTGTCAAAACTCTGCAAAGATAAAAAAATCAGCACTTCGCCTATGTGGACCATCCATTAACGTCGGAAAGCTACACAGGGGACTACGTGGTGTACCATCGCCCTCGCTCCACACTTCCCTTCCCACCCACCTTGCCTTCTCCAACCCCCCTTCCCTACCACCTGCATCACGTACACATGCTATATATAGACACTTCTCGAAACCTTGGTGCACTGAATGAGGACCCTCGTGACTGTCATTTACCACTGCCACCACCACCACCACCACCACCACCACCGCAACAACATAACAACAAATCAAGGCAAATCAACATACTGAGATGCGTATACGAGTTCATAAGTCCGTACGAAATCATAATATACATTGTCACACAAACATTGACCGCGGCGGGCATATTCACACAGGAAATTTTCGACACAATCTGGCCTTAAAAGCGGTCAGATACGTGCAGGAAAGAAGTTGTGGCGCGAGTGCATATGCAGAAGGCAAGGAAGAAAAGATAGAGGATGACCAGACAAAAGCAAAAAGGGCATGCCACCCTCCTCTCGTTTTTTCAAATTATGAGTAGGTCAAGCCATCATCCTCAGAGTTTGATATATAGAAAAAGACGTTTTTAGCTCGGAGATCCCCTTGCCCATTGATTTTCAAAAAGATGTCTCTTTTATATAAATCGGGCGGCGGGGGGGGGGGAGGGGGGAGGAATTGAGGGGGGGCCTACGTCACCAATGTACTATACGGGAGGGGAAGGAAAGGGGGGGGAGGGGGGGGTCTTTGTATGGGTAGATGGGAGTGCAGGTAGGATAAAATGCGTAATCTATATGACATGGTATAAGCTGGATACGAGTTAGTAACCGAAACCACAAGGACCGAAGTTGGAAGACGTGGGACGGATAGAAGGGATGGGTACATATGCAAGAATAGTACAGGCTATAGTGCACAATACAACAAACAGGTGGGAAGCATGGAAGTATGGGAGCAGAAGTAGGACGGCAATCACAAGTGAAAACAAGTGGCAACTTTTTTTTTTTTTTTTTTCCTTAAAAAGCCCAGGTTGTTGTAGAGGCTGGATTATGTGTGACGCGTGAAGTGCAAGGGGGATTGTTATGATAGACAGAATGTGTGACGGCCACAGATATGGATAATAGGCCACCGGGAAGCAGGGACAGCTGGAGGTAAGAGGGGTCACAGTGACGAGGGACAATAATAAGGAAGGGTGATGAATGTCAATTGTTGCGTAAACAACAGTCACAGGAAGGAGGGTGAGGTTCGGGCTTCAGGGAGTGGGATGGGGAGGGGGGGGAGGCTAGGAGATACCACGGTGCGGTGAGAGGTATCGGGGTGGTGGGCATGGGCCGTGTTCTTGTAAAGACATGTTATGCTTGCCAGTCATAAGCAACCGGACTGGTGGCCCCCCGGAATATAAGGGTCTGTGTGCGTAATGCATTAAAAGAAGAAGAAGAAGAAGAAGAAGTTAAAAAAACCGTCAAAAAAAAAAAAACCGCCTCTTTTTTCTACGTATCAACGTTTGAGCATGTTCCAACGCACTCAGAAAAGAGTCAGAATTTGAGAATGGCTTGATGTACTCGGAATTTGATCATGGCTTCACGACGTTCACGTACTCAGAATTTGGGCATGGCTTCACGTACTCAAAATTTGGGCATGGCTTTCACGTACTCAAAATTTGGGCACGGCTTCACGAAACTTCACCTAGTCAAAAAAAAAAAAAAAAAAAAAAAAAAAAAAAAAAAAAGAAGTTCACGTCATCGGAATTTGAGTTTAGTCTGGTGGGGTCAAATGCTCAGAATTTGAGCATGGATTAAATTGACTTGACGTACTCAGAATTTGAGCATGGCTTTACTTGCCATACTCAGAATTTGAGTATATGTGGTGAGATGCTGGGTTAAGTCCTTTCTCTATGTTTGCGTGTCATCCTTTTTTGCTCAGGGGCCATGCTAATCTTCTCTCTCTGTATCGCTCCAAGTTTAACAGTTCTCCTGAAGGACATGTTGAGTTAAGTCCTATAAGAGCGCAACCCCCGTTTGTGTTGGTAAGACGCTGCAACAATGTGGAGAGACGGTTAACGGAGGCCTCAAGTTCCTCAACCCCTAAACCCTAATTTCAGTTTTGGACCCGTTACCCAGGAGCTGAAAGAGGGGGTCCCAGTTAACCACTTGCAAGAGCGATGGTGAGAGCACGCGTCCTGGCTAGCTGCGCACAGTGGGCAGTGTATATCGAGAAACCAGATTTGTTAGTACAATGACTCGGACTATGTCTCTCGGTTCAGACAACCAAAAAATACTGATGCATACACTCTACTCCAAAAGTGTGTCCTAGTCTCATACATACTCAATTCATCCGCGCTTTAACCACCGCACAATCGGTACAGACGCGAAGAGTAAAATCCCACCCAATTCATTTACAGATGTGCTCATCCAATGCGTACCTACGACATTCACTCTACAATTGACATCGACACAAAGAAACCAAACATGCATTCGACCACCATAGACTCGAAAACGTAGTCGTGCAACCTGGTCGAAGAAAGAAGTGATAAAAAAAAACTCCAAAAGTTACGAAAGAGTGTGACATTCGGATATCATCGTGAAGCTCATCTTGATACGTGAAGCAGCGTCCTACTCCAGTATCCTGGCAAAACGCCCGACTCGTTTCTGCTGCCGCCAGTGCAGCGTCTTCAGGGGGTCCTCTCGAAAGGTACTCTCTGAAGCATTCCAAGTTTAACAGTTCTCCCGAAGGACATGTTGGGTTAAGTCCTATAAGGTGGGGATGTGACGATGCGGTGCACTCACAAAAAAACGCCAGTGATATACTGGAGGAAGGTGGGGATGACGTCAATATTTGAGCCTTGTTCATTGCAAAGAATGTGGAGCATAGCCAGCTGGAGATAAACACAATCGGCACCAACGCTCAAAAGAGTGGGGAGGTAGATACACGCGAGGAGAAAGGAGGAGAAAGAGGAGGAGGAGGAGAAGAAGGATGGGAGGGAGGAAACTCAGGAACGGCATAATTACACAGTGGCCATCGGTAAAAAAGAAAAACGAAAAAAGGGAAAAAAAATTAAAAAAAATGATTTGTCTCGGAACAGTTACAAGGAATTAAGGGAATGAGTAATCAAATCAGGGGAGGGAAAGAAAAAGAAGGGAAAATAGGATCTGTAAGGATGGGAATTGCCGGTATACCCAGGCCCACTGTGCATCTTGCATTTATACCCCCTGTACCATGTCCAGCTTAAACTAGCACCCAACTTTTCCCCTGCACCAAATTATTCCTGCACCCAGCATCACAGGCCCTCTGTCAGGGACCCACACCACAAATTATGCTAATGCCAAGGAACTGGACGCGCAAAACTGTGGGTGTACCCACAGGCAGCGGCGGCTCTTGGGCGGCATTTTGAGTTCAAACTCCGAATTTGAAATGCACCTTCCACATCCACATGCCATAGCTGCGAGCCACAAGGCGAGCCGCCTCCTTGGCGCCTTCCTATCCTCCTTCCAATCCTCCTTCTCCTCCTCCTTCTCCTGAGACCAAGGCATGTATGCGCACACGAAAACACGCACTCACGGTCATGTGCATCCAGGTGCACACCGGACAGCACAGAAGACAAGCGGTGCAGCCATGGAACCTCGGCTCTCTTTCGCTACCTCCTCGGCCCTTTTCCCCCCAGGAACAAGCCTCTGGGCACAACTGTAATTTGCAGCTGACACCTGGGTATAACAGTAATTTCTCGGTGGATTGTTGTGGGCCCCCGGCCGCTGGGTATGCAAACAATTTCTCCCAACCTCTGGGGGTAGTTGTGTATAGGAATAAGTTTTTGGTCCACCTCACCGAGGTCCCATCCAGTTCACGGAGGTCCCATCCAGTTCACCGAGGTCCCGGGTTTGCACATCTCCACATACTCCTTCGATGTTCCTGGCCCCAACTTCGCCGGTTTGTGAACCGCAAGTGTTCCTGGACGCAATTTCATCAGTTTGTGAACCTAAGGTGTCGGGCCCTACTGGCTGGAAAACCCAGTTAAGACCCGATGACTTGGGGGCTCAAAAAATGCCAAAATTGCGGCCGAGAATGTGAAAGTTAAATGGCCAAAGGGGTAAATTTGCGCGGGTATGTCAATAATTTGAGCATTGCTGGAAGTACGCTCTACCCAACAGCGATTTGGTGGTACCTACACCTCTTTCCACCTTGGTCCTGATGGCTTATATAATTCGGGGGAGGATGACACGTAGCATTCCCTAAACCAGAAGACAAGCCGAAGAGGATGATGACACGTGGCATGCCATCGATGAAATGGATGGTCGACGACTGTGCACCAAGGAACATGCCACGTGGCATCATTGAGCAGAGCAGTCAAATTTTTCACTCACGGGCTCACATCCTGTTCTTTTTCTGTGTTTTTTTATTTTCCGATTTTTTTTTTTAATTTTTTTTTCCCCCCGCATCGGGTGTCAGCATCCGGAGTAAAAGCACTTTTGTTCTTTTACTCCGGATGCTGACACCCGAGGGGGGAAAAAGAAAAAAAAAAAAAAATCGGAAAAAAAAAAGACAACAGAAAAAGAACAGGATGTGAACCCGTGAGTGAAAAATTTGACTGCTCTGCTCAATGATGCCACGTGGCATGTTCGCTGGTGCACAGTCGTCGACCATCCATTCCATCGATGGCATGCCACGTCGTCCCAATCATTTTTTGAAATGTAAGTTCAAGTTTTCCGAAAAAAAAAAAAGAAAAAAAAGCACAAATCAATTGTTTACTGCACCAAGGAATCACCACTGCACATGCCACGTGTCTTCTCACGTTGATTGGAGTTGCTCTAATTAACATGATGACACAAGAGACTGGCCCATCTCTTGGAGGGGAGCTGCACCTAGACGTTCTATATCCAATTAGTCGGGAGCTGCACCTCGAGATTTATTCTTATTTTCTATTGGTGGGAAGCTGCACCTAGCTATTTATAGTATTTATTCTGCTCTATGGATGGGGAACTGCACCTAGACATTTCTTTGATTATAGCAGTTCGGGGTGCTGTGCACCCCGGTTGCCAGCAGGTGCAGCTCCCCTCGCCAGTAAACGATAGAACTACCGGTAGGTCCAGCTCCCTACCAATATATATTACGTAAATGTATAGGTTCAGCTCCGCTCCAAGAAGGTTTGCCGTCCTTCGGGACATATGTTAAAATTGGAACGATACAGAGAAGATTAGCATGGCCCCTGCGCTTTCAAGGATGACACGCATAAATCGAGAAATGGTCCAAATTTTTCAGGGAACGGGGTGTTGTAAGCAGTAGAGTGAAAAAAAAA